TGGCTAGGATATCTGGCTTTCACCCAGAAGGCCCGGGTTCGATTCCCGGTATGGGAAATTTTTTCTTTTGCCTTGAGCAAATACCAATAACAAGAAATATCGTTCCCCTTTTGTATAGTGTTATTTATTTTGTAAAGCAACTGAATTAATATAAATGATTCATCGGTGGCTTAATGGAAAATAAGTTTTTCATTGTGAATATAGACTTAATTAAATGTAAAATAAATTTTCACCAATAACATTTTCACCACTTTAGCAAGATAAAAACATGATTTTGTAAAAGTTATTTATGAACAAAAAATTAAATAATAATAAAATTTTAATAATTTTTATTTATTTTATGTGTCACTATTACTTATATTAAGAGTGTTTAGATTGTTAAGATTTATTGTGATAAAAAATTACTTTTTATTAAAAAGGAATCACAACTGCGAAATTACATCATAGCAGAGCAAGGTTTCGATCCTCGGACCTCTGGGTTATGGGCCCAGCACGCTTCCACTGCGCCACTCTGCTTATAATATTCTTAGCGCCATGTTAAATGTGAGTCAACAGGGCATAAATCAACAAGGGTTCTTGTTAGAACCCTTAAACTATTGATAAATGGTTTAGTTAATTAACAAATGTGTGACAAATATGGAAAAAGTAATCAATTTAAATTTTATATTAAAAACAAAGATGAAAAGTATTAATTTGTAAATAAATAAGATATTTGATTCTTAGCCAAAACAAAAACTGCTTAATATCCGTTTAGTTTTATTTTCTTACCCTTATATTTAAGCGGTTATAAACCCAATATCAAAGCATTTTGTTCACTTATTTGCTCTTGACTCATATTAAACATGGCGCATGCAAAATTATAAGCAGAGTGGCGCAGTGGAAGCGTGCTGGGCCCATAACCCAGAGGTCCGAGGATCGAAACCTTGCTCTGCTATGTGGTAGATTTCGCGGGTGCGAACATTTTTTCTTTTCTTTTATATTAATATTATCATATTCACACTGTCAAAATAATTATTTCATGTTAAGAATCGATCGTTTAAAGGCAAACGCTGCTATATTTTTAATTGTTGCGAGTTAATAATTGAAATTGGGTTTTGCTCCAACAACAATGCGTATCTTCGGCTCCAGCTCACGTGGATTATGTATTTACTCTGAGCCGTGGCGGCCACCTCGCTTATCGCGAGCCTGCAGCCAGCTTCCACACATCTGCTGAGGTTCTGCATCCATTTTTTGCCCACTGGCACAGATACGGCTTTAATAACCACTCACCGAGTGCGACTCTGTTGGTTTTTGCCGCTTCTGTTTGCATTGGTAAGAGATGCGATATGGCCGCGAAGCAGGAGCCCAGGTTGCTGGACGTTCAATTTTTTAAAAAGTTTTCTTTAAAGAAGTTTTAAAATTTTTTAATAAATTATTTTGAAACCCACGGAATACAATTTCAAGAGTATGATGTGGAAAATGATACAAAATATGCTCAGCCAGGCAGAGAGTTGCCATTCCCTATAGCCAATAAAATTGACATATTTGTCAATAAATGGCAAAAATTTTAATTAATTTTCGCGCCACTTAAAAGCGCGCCATGAAATTGCACAAAACCATTCGGTTGGGATCGACTCGTGGGGGTTGCGGGCCAATGGAAACCAACCACAAACACTAAATTGCAAATAAATTTGTTTAAATATGCAATGGCAGAGCGCGTCAAGTTTGGCACAACCCCCATGGACGAATGGCCAAAAACTGCGCTAGACTGCGACATTTTCACCTGGGAGAGGTGGAGAATTCGGGGGATTTCATTTGTTGGGATGGTCTGGTTGTTGGTTTGTCCACTGCCTGCTGCACGTGCAGCTGCGACAACGAGACAACAACATGCGCATCAAATTTTAATAGCAAAACCCCCAAAAGTTTCAAGCCACAAAGTCCATTTCCATTGGACTAAAAGGGGTTCCGTTCTCCTTGCGGGTTGCTCCCAAAATGTTGTTGTTGGTTTTGTGTCGTTGTTGTTGGGTGACATGCTTGATGTACGCTTTTGGTTTTGCCCACGAAGATGTTGCAATGACATTGAATATTGATGAAAATAAATCGAATTTCCGTCAGCCCGGCATCCGACGTATTCGATAGACGGCAAGGGCAAAAAAAATAAACTGGACACATTTCCTCCGTTTTCCCTCGCTGCTCGTCGAATCCCCAGCTTTTCTATTGAGACAGCCAAAGGGTTCCGCCCGAATTGAGCTTGACGCAGTCAGCTGGCGAGTGTTAAAATCCCACGTTGTCAGTGTTTTTGAGAGGTATTTGTGGTTTCTCTAAGTTCCGATTTTTAGTTTACTCTGTTTGCACTTCAGCACTTGAAAAAAATAAAAAAAACAGTATTCAAATGTTACTTTTGAGCTTAGTTAAAAACAAATATGCATTAACAATATTTTAAGAGGAGCTTTATATCAATAATAAAACTCCTTAATATGTTCAAAGAATTTAGAAAATTTGACAAGTTTTATTTGTTTTCATATTTTTATAATAATTGGAACATCCCTTTGATCTGATTTAAAAATGTGTATTACTAGAGGAGCTGTGTTTTTGCAGGCAACCAATTGAAACATTTGTTAAAAAAATCCCAGCAAAAAGCATCGAATTAAATTAACAACCACTTTTTTTATGGGTAAGGCCTAACCAATTTAAGTTAAATAAAAAACCATACACGAGTCGATTTCCAAAGGTGATTTTGAGTTTTTTCGCCTGTTCGGTGGCCAACCCACAATTAAGCCCCCAGTTAACACTTGATTTGTATTTAAAAATTATTGACCAATCCATGGGTACTGATTAAGTTTGTGTTTGTGCTTGTCAAACGATGGATGGCTGCTGTTTGGGGGCGGGGCAGCGATTGATTTTTGCCGCCACAAGGCAACGGTGGGTATCGGAAATTGCATAAACTCCGACTGAAAGAGATGGGAAAAACAGAGAGAGAGAAAAGGAGACAGTGCAGCACATATGAAAATCCAATTTTCCAGTGATTGATCAGGCCGATGAGGGGAACTGAAGAGCTGGCCACACACGTGAAGTGGGGAAAGTTTGTTTGCCGGGCGTGTACGCAAAAATAATGTAATTAAAGCAATGTTTGCATAATAAAAATTAATATTTGTTGCAGTTTGTGTCGCCATTTCCTCGCACCGCAAAGGGGAGGGGGTAATGCATTTAGCCGGCCCTTTCTCCGAGTGTTTACCTAGGCAGCGAGGACTCGTCGTGTCGCCAGAGTCCTTTGCTCGCTTTATGCGGGCTGTCAAAATCAGACAGTGTGCACACATGCACCCACACCTCGTCGACGTCCCAGAGATTTGGTCCGGGTGTTGTCCACGCTGAAGAGCATCCGCATCCCCACGCCATCCTCCCCCAATCTCGACTGTTTGTCCAAGTTTCGTTTCACCAAATTATGCCCGAGCATATGAGGGATTTATATACGCTCGAGGACGCAACTGGACTACACTGCACTCCACTCGACTCGACTCTCCTGTCTGCTGGTTGTCTGGCGCTTCATCGCTGGTGTATTTATGCAAATATTGAAATAAGTCTTAATTGAATACAAATACTCAATTACATTGCGGCAAATCTATTTTGTGGGTCCGGCACAAACAAACTTCACTTCGGACTGTACAATGTCAACACTTTGGCTTTACAATTTTAATTGTTGAATGTGATTTCGGTTGGAAAGTAAAACGCATAAAATAAAATAAATTAAAAAAAATAATCATGGCCCATGAGGGGATCGAACCCGCGACCTTCGCGTTATTAGCACGACGCTCTAACCAACTGAGCTAATGGGCCTTCGTGACGCTGGCAGTCTTCGTGACTGATTTACAGTGCGCGGGGGTAGTTTTTTCAGCTGTACATATCTCGAATATCTATTTATAGATCAGCCTTTTAGAGGGGGTGCTTATCTACTGATTAAATTTTTATATATCATATATTTTTACTTGGATCTATTTTTTTTCATACTTATTTGCATTTTATTCTTTGCTCCTATATTCTTTGTAACCGCTCATAATCAATCCCTTAAAAACTTTATTAATTATAATCTATTGTATATTATAAAAACATTTTTCTCTTTAAATGTTGTCAGTTTATTTCGTGTCTATAATTAATTTACCACCGACTGCAGACGATATTAATTGTGTTTCTTTTGCGCTTCCCGAGGGAGTTAAATGCTGCTCGACACCGCATGCATCATCGCAAGCAGCACATTTGACACTTCATTAAAAAGCAACATTACCAAAATCAATTAGAGACATTCCCCCATGCATTCCCATCGCTTAGACGGCATGGATAGACATACAACAAGAGCACACAAAACGGGGAGCGAATAAGTTTGTTGTTTTTGGCAAACAAATACGCAAACAATTGAGATACACATTGTATTTGTTGCTGCCGGTATCCATCCCCTTCCACGTCGACCGGCGCCGATCCGCAAATTGTTTGAGCACGAGACGAGACTTTGTTTGCATTTTGAATTGCCGCCACTGGGAGCCAGGAGCAGAAGCTATTTGAACAGAGGCACACTGAGCGAAAACACTCTAAAAACCGGGAGTAAACAATTATTATTTTGGGGGTGATCTTTAATCTTTCTCATTTCCCAAAATACAACCAAAAATGTAATAACAAATTTACACCAATTGGTTGAAAGCTTCAGGCCTTACATTTTTTTGTAATTAACATTTTTAAAAAATATTCATATAATTTTAAGAACCTTTAATCTGGTTCGATTTCTGGATCAGTTTAGTTAGGCAAACGTTCCTTTGGATTTGTCAACCTGATGTTTATTGCGCTTATAAAAATTGCATCAGATTAACGCAATCAAGTATAGAAAAACTGGCCTTTAAGATTAAACAACTAAGAAAGACTTCATTGCAGAGAAATAGAAAACAAATTTTTGTAAAACCTGAATAAGTTTCCTTCTGTGTACATACACGTTTACCTATAGGAGACGCAAAAAAAACACGGCCAGAGACGACTTGTTTAATCGAAAATTAATTAAAAACGTGTTGCCGTTTAATCAGACTTTAAGCTCGCCTACAAAGTACGTGTTTCCACACTCGATTGACATCCTGATCTAGTTCTTCGGATGAGGCACTGCTTTATGGAGCCACTTGCGGATGTATTCGCTGGTCTGGAGACCAACCATGCGATTCACCACCTTGCCGTTGCTGATGACCATCAGGGATGGGACGGAACCCACGTTGTAGTCCATGGCCAGCTCTCCATGCTCATCGATATCAACGCGGGCCAAACGCACCCGACCGCCCTGCTCGGACACAATGTTCTCCAATCGCGGGGCTAGAGCCTTGCAGGGACAGCACCAACTAGTAAGAAAGTACTATGTGCAAATGGTTGAAATTAGATGATAAATGCACTCACCTGGCATGGAAGTCCACCACTACTGGCCGGTCGCTGTTGATCACCCGCTGCTCAAAGTCCTTTCTGGTCTCCACATCGAAGATTGGTTGCCTGCCCGTGCTGGTCATTCCACGGTTCGCCTTAAGAAGATTCATGAGGCGCTCTGCCCGAAACATTCTTCTATAGCTCGACATCTTACCCCAAACGGATAACTGTAATTTTTACCAAGTTACAAATTTTTCTAAAAAATTTTGATCCGAAAACTTTTGAGGCTGCAAGTATACTATTAGGCTAATGATTTCTAATAAGAGAATAAAATTGACAGTGGACATAAAGCTAAAATCAGAGACTGCTTGATCAAAGAAAAAAAACACGTAACTTATTTATCTATATAGTTTTCAGATATATATTTTGAAATCTTTACAAGAAAGCTTATTTTTTATTCCAATTTATCATTTATTTTAGAACCATTAGTTCCGCATGCAAATTTCATAATAACATATATAACTTACAAAGTCAAAAGCAATATTAATTTATATTTCATTTGGTAATTTTGTATATCGTGATTCTAAACAGATTTCAGACGAATACCTAAAACGCTTATGAAATGATTATAATAAGTACTTGACCATAGCATGACAAATCAAAAGCATTTATCACCATAAAATTACCCATGAACCACTTAGGAAAAAAGGTCTCTTATAAAAAATATAAATATTTATTTGCAGTTCAAAATAATTGTAGTTGCTTTATAATTTTCGTTGATATAAGCATTGAAACTTCTTAAAGCCTTCTTCGCACCTGTCGGGATCTTTGATCGAAAGGCAGGGGTCGGTTTTATTTTCTTTCTTTAACTCAAGCATTTTAGCTTTAATTCCGGAACTTTGGTCAAGGTAACAACTTAAGGCGCACTTGATTTTGGAGTATTTGCTTGAGGTTTTGTTTGTTAGTAAGGATTCGTAGATTTCCAGAACTTTCTCATCATTTAAACAGTCAATCGGAAGTTTGACTTGGTTAAATTCCATTGAGTGCTGTAAATTTTAAAATTGAATGGCATCTAACGAAAGAAAGAGTTTTGCTTACTTGGAGTGTTGGCAGAGCTAATAACCCAACTAGGAAAACCAAAACAAGCGATAAGTTCATTTTGTAGACTGGGATTCTAAACACATTCCAGATATTGCATTTTGGTTTAAATAGATTCTTTCAAGCGAATAACTGCATGCATATTAATGATTTCAAGCTTTGTTAGAAATTAATTTAAGATGCATTAAGTCAAAGTGTAAAATCAATTCCACGGGGTGAGTCGGGAAAAAGTTTCAATTTTAATACTCACAAAGTTCAATAAGATTCGTACCCCAAAATTAATGTCACTCAATTAGGAAAGATTTCTCTTAAAAAAACCAAATATTTCTTTGAAGTTTGAAATAAATGTAGTTGCTTTATTTAATTCCTTGGTAATAGCATGTAAATTTCTTAAAACCTTCCTCGCACCTATCAGCATCCTTGATGGAAAGACATGGGTTGTCCATTTTTTTCTTTTTCAATTCTTCAATGGCCGTTTTAAATAAGGCTTCACTGTTAAAGTAACAGCTTAAGAAGCACTTGATTTTGTGATCTTTCACTATTTTTTTGTCTGAATATAAATAATCAAAAATCTGCTTCTCCGACACATTTTCCTTATGTGCACAATCAACTGCAGGTTTAAATTCGTCTAATCTTACTGATTGCTGTAAGTTTAGATAAATAAATTAATAAATCTAATGCCTGAGTATGTTTTACGTACTTGGGGAGCAAATAACCCAACTAGGATCACCAAAACGAGCAACACGTTCATTTTGTAGATCGTCTTTTAATACAGAAATCCAAATGTGCTTTTAAAGACTCTTTTATGCGACTAGTATGCCTAATTGTGATTTCATGCTTTTCTAGTATTATTACACGCTCATTAAGGGATTTATATGTAACTTAACCTTTGTAATTATCATATTGCCATAGCGCAAATTCGGATTCCACGGGAAAATTTAAGCGATAGTTGCCCCTTGTAATAATAAAAAGAAATAGGTTCATTATTTTATAAATTCAGTGAAAACTAAGCAAATTATCCAAAGAAAATTATTCTGAGTCGCGCGGAATGACTTTTCTTGTCACTTCAGATGCAACAAATTAAATTGATTTGCGGCTTTATAATTTATATTAACAAACTGTTAACCAGTATCAACCAGTCCCATTTAGTAAAAAATTTCATTGGTTGAAGTATTTCTTTTGCAGCTTAGTATAAAATAATATTTTTTTATTACCAGGTTTATGTTAAACAAATTGGCTTAGATCTCAGCGCGGTTCTCGTAGTAGCACTTGTAAAGCTGGTAGCTGGTATCGCATTTGTCGGCACCCTGGATGGAGTCACACTTGGCCTGTACCTCATGGACCTTGGCTTCGCCGGCGATGGGACCCAGTTTGGCCAGAACTTCATTGGGCTTGATCTGACCATTGGCCACCAAACCACTCTGCTCCAGGAAACAATTGGCGAAGCACTTCACCTTGGGATCGGTGTCCGCAAAGTTGCCGGCTCGCAGGGCAATGGCCTGCTCCTTGGTGATTCTTTCCTGTTCGGCACAGGACTTGGCCCTTTGTCTCACCTCGGTGATCTGGGCCTCGGTTAGCTCCTGTTTAGAGGGTTGGTAATACCCAAGAAATAAGTCTCAACAAGGAAGCTAGATCTCGAGGTTTTGTCTTACCACAGCAGCTGCGCAGGAAAGAGCAGCAAAGGCGGCGAAAACAAGGAATACTTTCATGGTGATGATCGAAAGCTGCCTAGAATCTCTTGAAATCGAAACTGTTGACTGACTGTCTCCGGCAGTCAGCATTTATACGATTCAAGATTATGGACTTTAGCCCTGAATCCGATTATCATATTTTGTTAATGATTCCCTTTCCTCTTACTTGCATTCGTGAAAAGAAACAACTTGGCAATGCTGACTTGCGATTTTGAGCTTGGCGTCGGGTACACACATATATCATTCGCCTAAGATTGAGTTTCTAAAGCCTTTCGCAGCTTATTAATAATTTTCGTTTGCGCTTTAAACTATTCTAAGTCAGCAGGGATTTAAGCCTCCCCAGCTTCTGGCTATTGACCACCACACATTTGGGTCAAACTAGATCCCAAAAAACTGATAGCATTCACTCGTTCGCCCGGCCATATTTACTTGGGCCAAATGAATGATGACCCGCCCAGGCTCAGTTTGTTGTCTAAACATTTTTATGATTCAGGGTTAGAGATAGGATTCTTCGTGGCCTGTGTCTTTACATAATCCCCACTGCTTACACAGGCATCAAGGCGTTTTAGCAATTAGTTTCTGTTTCTGCGAGCATCCAATGTGAAGATAAGTAGCCCACAGTTTTCATAGTCCTGATGGGCTTCTGTGGGGCTTTGATGGATGATTGACAAGCGAGTGACAAGAGGGCCAGTGTGTGAGTGGGTGTCGGAAATGTGGGGCTAGTGCTGAAATTAAATGGGTTAATGGATATGCAAGGAACGCTTTTGGCTTGTCATCAGTTAATGATCATTGTCCCTACTTAATCTTTAAAAAATGAGAAGTAGCTAGCTAAAGGCAGAAAAGTAACATGTACTAGATGCAAGTGTCAACTTACTTCCAAACTTTAAATATAATTAACTAAAGCATAGCAGTCCAAAAAGAGAACCTAGAGAATTTCTTGGTGTTTTAATATGTTTTGTCATTTTTACGTTCGTTTTTGTGTGGCCATTTGTATAATTAAAACACCTTAAGATAAAACTAAATTTTGTTTTATTGTCTAGAGTCTTCTGGTATAAAAACAAGTGGAGTATGTTTTTTAAAACCATGTCAACTTTGTTTTGCTGATGTTAATGTTCTTTCCCATTTTTATTCAGAAATCGACTAAAGCTACACTAAATATGAAGCCTTTTTGTTGTTCTTTAAACTAACCGAAGTATAAGGAATTTTAATAATCGCTTTTTTAGCTATGTAACTTAATGCATTTTTGCTGTGTTTATTAAAGTCTACCTAACTAAGTCAAAATAAAAATACTTAAAGTGCGATTTTCATATTTTGAGTACAACCACACACCATTAGAGTCAAAATAAGTGGAAGAAGGGGGAACCGAGTTAAAACAAGAGAGAACGCTATAGTCGGGTGCCCCGACTATCAGATACCCGTTACTCAGGTAAAGGGAGTGCGAGGGAGATGGACATAGAAACTTTGATCACGCATAACTTTTTAACGAATGGTCAGATTTGAAAAATTTCTTCCACATTTCGATAGGTATTGATAAACACAATAAAACTGCATTTTTACTTTTCCGAAATATTTAAATTTTAAAAATCGTATATAAGCGATTGTGGGCGTTAAAGGGGGCGTGGCACCTTTTTGAAACAAACTTGCGCTGCGTAGGAACTCCTAGAATCTGCATGCAAAATGCCAATCTTCTAGCTTTTATAGTTTCCGAGATCTCAGCGTTCATACGGACAGACAGACGGACAGACAGACGGACGGACAGACGGACAGACGGACATGGCTATATCGACTCGGCTAGTGACCCTGATCAAGAATATATATACTTTATAGGGTCGGAAACGCTTCCTTCTAGCTGTTACATACTTTTGCACGAATACAATATACCCTTTTACTCTACGAGTAACGGGTATAAATATAAATGAGAAGGAGTATCGCTCCTGCAACAAGCACAACGACTCACTTTTGTGTGTTATCGTTCCTAATTTGTTTCAAATTAAATGAGTTTTAAACATTTTCCCAGCCAAATACAATCATAAAGCGTAAAATATACTCCGAATGACGCGAATGTGGATGTGTTTTTCGGATGGGTGGTCCAAAGGATCTGGCTGTTGTCGTTGTTTTTTTGGGTGGGTGGGTCGTTTCTCCTGCAAATGTAATTAAAAAACTTTTAAACCGCATCAACATAAATGTATGGCGCTTAAAATTTTGTGCATTTGACAATTTTCGGTTGGCAAAAAGTTGACATTTTGTGTTCCTGTGTTTGTGGGCAAGTGTGTGTGAGTGTGTTGTGCAAAAGAACCGCCAAAACATGTCAGACTCGACCCACCTTCACCACCACCCCCACTCGCCTTTCCATCAACTTAAATGAAAAGCTTTAAAAGTTATTAGCGTTCATAAATAAATGTCAGTGGAAGGCATTTATTGATGACGGCCCCGTATCCATTTTATGCGTTTATCATTTTTACGAGCCACTCTTTTCGGCCATTTCATTTATTTTAATTGAACACCCGAACCACCAGTCTACTACAGCCCTTTTGGGGCCGTAAAGAATTGGAAGACTTTCCATTTAATTGCATTTAAATCGCCGGCCAAACACCTTAATAGACCATTAAGTCTTGCCCCAAACCGAGGCCCATTCCTCCATTAAGGTTTAGTTCTGCAATGTGTGCAGGTAATAAATGTTTGCACCCGGAATTCCATTCCGAGCATTTCAAATGATAACGCTAAATTGCTTGGCCATAAATTCAACACTCGACATAATTTTTCAGTGTGAAATTTAATCAATTCGATATTGTGGAATGTCAGAGTGCAAAATAATCAAACGGCATCCCATTAATTGTCCGACGATTCATGTAATGTGTTATGTATCCATATCCGTGTGATGTCATCCCCGAAATAACCTCATCCGACTCCACGCTCCAGGCTCCATAATTTTCCATTAGCTTTATTATATACTCATTTGGGCGAATGTCTTATATCATTGTTATTAGCAAATTTTATGCCGCAGTTTATTGCCTGCCCCCTGACATGTGGGAGGATTTGAAACGGAATAATCAGTATCTGAAACTGGAGGCAATTCCTTTGGGGTCCCTCGCCTTTTGGGGCAAGTTTGTTGAACTCTCCCCAAAATTTTGGGGGATAGTTTCAAGGGAAAAAATAAAGCCCCAGAGAACTGAGATGCAACTAAGGGTTGTTCCCATCTTTTGAGAACCATTTAAGATTATTTTTACGCCATATAGGGTAAGTCCGTTATAAATGATATTACAAAGCTCACTAAATGGTAATTATTATATACGAATATTATATAAGTAGTACTATCCTATGCATTAAGACAAAACTTGTTTTAATATAAGCTTGCATTACGTTGAAAACCATAGTTCGAGTTTTCATTGTACATTCCAGATAAGTAATTAAGATAATATCAAGGTGGAGAGTTTATTCAATACAATAATGGATGAAGTGTGAAAATGCATTTACGTGTTATTATCTTTAGCTCATGTTAGGCCTATGATTGAGCAGAAAGCATTTAAATTTAATCGGTTCAGTTGAAAATGGTTCAGAACACACATGAACAGAATACTCTGTTTACCGGATCCAGGTACAAATGAAAGTTTTCGCACAGTCATTTTCACGGAAAGAGCTCTTTTTAATTAATTTAATGACTGGCTGATGTATTTGCATATGGAAGTGCACGTGAGGAAAACTTTGTGCACGTGGGTAAATAATAAACTCTTTTGTTGCAGTTCCACATTTAACAGTGCTGCTCTTGGCCAAGCTTTACTTTTGGCTTTGTACCTGCCTGGTTGCCGCTTGCCACTAATTATTTTAACAGCATGCAAAACGTATCCGCTTCTCCCCCAGAAAACTCCCCTCCTCTTTTCCAGGCAAAGAAAACTCCGGAAAAGAAAGCTCAGTTTCCTTGGCATTTTCAGTCCGTAATCCGCATAGCTTATCACAAATTCCGGGCATAACTCAAAACAGAAATGCTGCTCGGCCATTTGGGAGAGGCAAATTAATGGCTAGATGCGCATTGTTTTGCCCCATCCGCCCCATCTGCCCCAAGGCGTTGCAACACTTTCTGATTGCATTAGAAGCTTACAATAATTTTAGGGGCAGCTCCACTCGGAATGGGAACGTAAATGGAATATTTTATGCAATTTATTTTGATCAATTTGCACGTCGCAATGGCAGCTTCCTCTAAGGGCGCCTAAATATTCTCCGGGTATTGTGGATGCAATCGTGCGTGCCACGGAATGGAAATTTCCAAATGGGAGCCACAGGCTCTGCTTTATTATTCATCTATTTCGGAAAAGTATAAATACAATAACAATAATTGTAAAGAAATTTTTTGGTTAGCCAAATTTAAAATATGTGTTTAAATTTCATATGCTTTTCTTCTTTTGGAGTTCATTTCGTATTCGTATAACAAAGATCAATTATATCTCAAATTGAATTTTTATTAAATGTTTTAGATTTTCAAATTTACTTCACTTCTTAACGTTATACTTAATTATTCAGGCATTGGCTTGAATCATATAGGAACACAAATATATATTAAATATATATTATATATTAAACTTTAAAAGATTATTTTTATTAATTGTGCATGTCGTAGATTTATTAATTCTTTCGTTGAAAAACTATTTAAAACTTTTAAAGAAATAAATATATTAAATTCTTTAAGAGTGATAAACTAATAAAAAAAACTGATTACTGAGACAAAAATATAACCGATTTAGCTTGTAAGATTTACATTATTAAAATAGTCGCGGCAACTTAATGGAAAAAGGACCAACCATGCGTGGGATAAGTTCTTTCAACTTTGTCGTCGGATTCCAGTATGGTGTTAGTGGAATGCTTATATTAAACCCATTTGCAGCCCACCTCATTACACACTAAAAAAAGCAATCGAGCATCAAATTACAAAGAAAATAAAATGCAAATAGGTTTTTCCTTTTCTTTTCAGGTTGTTCCCTTATATTTTTTTTCATTTTTTGGTAGTGGGGTCGTCTCTATCCTCTGTCCCATCGAGTTCATCCGCCCCGTATCCCTCGGTCGGAGTTCCAATTTCATGCAGCTGACCACGGACCCTGTAATTGTAATTGCCGGGCTGGATTGGAGTGGATTAAACAATTTCCACATTTAACATGGCGCGTCTTTAACCTTTGCCACAATAAATTTTTCCGGGCTTTCCTCGTTTGGTTTTCGTTTGCTGTTGTTGTTGTTGTTGCTCCCCGGTTGGGGCTTAATTTTGGTGCCGGCGATAAGAATTTTTAGCGACGCTGTCATTTGGGGCTTTTGGCTTTTACGAGGCGGCACAAAGGACGCATGTCCTTGTTGTGCGTTTAATTAGATGCTTTGCCTAATTAGTCGGTTTTATGTGAGACTCTTAATGCCCCTGGATTACCTTTTTGGTTGCAGTTTGCCGTGTCAAGAAGTCTGCTCTTTCAGGACTATGCCCTCTTGGTCGATATGTGGCATACAGATTACGCAGACCGAGAATGTTATAAACTTTAACGTTTATTAAAAATTCCAAGCGCACAAGAAAATATCCGCAGCGTCCTCGCAATAATGCGAACGAAAGCAGCGCGTTTTGCTGCTGATTTTCGCAGCTTGAGATTTTCCATTTTTCCATCATCGGGCTTCGGTGTTGGGATTTTCAATTTCTTACAGAACGAGCACTGCATTCCTTCACCTGGCCGTCTTTGATGCGTCGTATGACAGGAGGAGCAGCAACAGTAAGTCGCTCCGAGTTCCATATGAACTCCGCATCCCAGCCACTGGCCCCTCAGCCGAATTGAACTTGTCACAAAAGAATTCATTTTGCAGAGCTCGGAATTTTCCGGCTGTTTGGGGGGCGTTGAAGGGGGTGGGGTGAACACTGTACGTTGAAAAGCTTTGTAAGCTTTGCTTGACTCTTGGCCTCGTCCCTATTTTCCCCCTTTTGCGTTTCGCACACTGTCCCTTATCCAACGCTCCATCGGTTCTGAGTTCGTTAACTGGAATTCAATAAATATTACTAAAACACTCGCATACGCATTCGCCTTTCTCTTGGCTTTTTATTGGGAAGCAGGAAGGAGACAACAGCAGATGCCAAGGCAAAAAAAGGCCAGAGCAGACATTTTCACATAATTTCCCCCCACATTGTGATCCATTTTTAGAGCCAAGCCGACTCCCACCATTCGCAGTCCCCAAGGCTGAGTATATTTTGGCTTATTTTATGACGCGTTTTGTTACCAAAACGAAAATTTTTGGTAATACCAAGACATTTAATTGCCTAATTGTTTTGTTTTTGGCATTTTATTGCAGGCGGACTGGTTTTTATGGGAAAGCGAACCAAGCACGCCATTCTTTTTATGACTTAATTACTTAAATGCGTTTTATTTTGCATGCGGCCATAATCATAAACAAATTATAGAAGTGGAAATTATGATATCTTTTTCATTTTTAATGCGAGCCCTGGGAAAAGATTATCCGTTAGATAATGATAATTTACATTCTTGAAAAGGATAAAATACATTTTCAGCCTTAATTTGGCGTTGGGAAGACAGTTAAGTTATAACTTTATTTTTGAATTTTACAAAACTTTCATGGAACTTGAATTCCACATCCTTTGAAGCATAGTTCATATTATAAAAGCTTAAGTAAATGGGTAAACCATATTTGCACAAGTTTTCAGACTCCATTTCATCTTTTCATCAGCAAATAGTATTCTCAGCGCAACCCACTCCATCGCGGTCTCATTATAATTTAAATTAACTGAATTTGCTTTATTTGATTTACCTGGTTTAGTGTTTCACTGCCTTTCCGGCCCATTGAGATTTTCTGCTCCAATTGTGGAAAAGCCAAGGACGCTGGCAGGAGGTTTTTGGAATTTATTAGCCTCGCTAGGGTTTGACCCTAAAGGGTGCCTATCCCATCATACCATCCTGTTTGGCTTCGGTTTCCCTTCGGCCATCTCTTTTTATTTTCTGAAATTAATGCGGCAAACACTAATTAATTGCGCAGGTGTTGCAGCTGTTCTGTAGCTCTTGTTGTTGCTTGCGGTGTTGTTATTGCATGGGATAAGCCTAATTGAATTTCTGTAGCTTTTTGCTAGGTTGGCGGATTCAGGAGCGGAGGATACGGGATGGGCAAGGTCCTATCTCGCCATTGGTTATAATTAATTACAACGCTGCCATTGTTGGAGACCGATTGCATTTATTATCTTTAAATTATTGATTTTTATCAGTTGGTAATTATGTTACATAACAATTAGGACATGAGCATGTTGTACCCGACATTTAGCTTAATTTTAATTTAATGAACCTTATTTTGAATATATTAGAACTATTAAAAATGGTACCAAATGAAAAAAGATGAACTAATTTATATGTATGTTTTTCTTACTAAAACCTACTACTTAAACCAAAAAAAATAAAAGTTTTATGCTAATTGGATTATTTATATGTTCTTGAACACAAAGTAAAAATGGTACCAATAACATTTGTTAATGCTTAATTTATAGTAATTTTTTTACTTTTTGTATTGTATGAAATAAGAGAATAGCCCCAAGATTGAAGGTTATATTGCTAATTGAAACTTATTTTTTTTTAAATTAAAAAAGAATTTATAATAATGTAAAAATCTTGTTCTATTGTTCCGTTGTTAAACAAACTAATTACCAATATTTTATTTTATTTTAATTAAAATTCCAAATTATCAATTGAAAAGGATCTAGGGAATTTTCGCAACTATCCTGTAGAGAATCGCATTGAGGCCTTGGTAATTCCCAAAGCGTTGACCGTAATCAAATTCACGCTTTTGGACTTATTTAATTGTTTTTTTTTTAATTTCTCATAGCTAATAAATTGACTTTTATGGCTGGTCATGAGAAGCTCGTAAAATTTGCATATGACTGTTAACCGAGCTTTTAGCTTTAAGCCGGGGTCCTTCAACGGTTGACGGCATTATTATTATGTCAACGTAATGTTGTCGTCAAATGGTTTTTCGCGTGACATTTGCATTTCAGTTCGGTTGAGTTGAGCCCTCGGGTCCGATGACATTTCATTAGCCGTTGCCAGTTCTTCGGGCACATAATAACGTGTGCCATTGTTTTTCATTGTCGTTTTATGTGCTGTTTATATTTTTATGGCATGCCATATAGTATTTAATATTTATATTATATATGAGCCACATGCGACAATCCCCTCCCGTTCTATCATGTCTGCGATAAAACAATTTTATTCCTTTCTTCTACGCCGGAACTTTTTAGGGACACCGAACTTTTGCACCAGGTAAAAAAGAAAGCTTCCCTCCAACACCGCAGCTCCTTGAACTGAAATCAAACTACTTGAGGCGAGTCACCCGCTGCTTCGTGTTTGCAGTTATTATTGTCTATAAATCGTTGGGAGGATCCCAGCAATATACACGATGACATTATGAATTTATTACTATTTAAATATTTTACTTCTGCTATGGCCCTGGCAGGCGACGATGGGCCGCAATAATCGCTCTGACATTTTTGTTTTGCCTGGCGTGCGTAACTATTTACGAGTTTACTACGGTAAGTTTTGCTGAGACCCAGGCACGAGTGCATAGTTTGAGTAGGTCATGAATTATCGATGCTGTCAGCAGTAAATATTGATAAAATATATGATCAAAAGTTGTTGCACGTAAGCATCAACTTTGGTAACTACCTCTATTACCATAATTCAGGCAGTTGAACCACTTAAACGGTTCCGTTTAAAACTCATGCATAAATGTACATATATCAGCTAATCATCCGAATGTCATTTAAATTATTTATCAGCAGCAGACATATCTGGGCTTCACATTAATCAGCAAACCAGTTCAGTTTTACCGCATGGACTTGAGATTTTGTGACTCGAGCGAATTTTTAGACTTTGATACCGGCACTTGAATTCAAACTTTGGCCAAAACAAATAAACAATAGAGAGATGAGAGAGGAAAAAAACAGTAAAGGTAAAACAGGTTCGACGAATCAAAATGATCATCAGGCAGCAATTAACTTACAAGTAATTACAGATTTATTTCGGTCGTAATCCGAATAAGGGCCTAACAACTTAATTAATTTGAATGTAATTATTAGTACGAGGTAGGTTTGTTCTAAGATGCAACTTTGTTTTAGTTTTCTTTTTCAATTTTCATCGCCTAATTAATGAGACTAGAGCAGTTAGCAGCTTATATGATAACTGAGAGGTAAATATATTTTCTGTTTATTTCTGTAAGTTACAAACAGAAGTAGATCGGTTTTTAAAGTAGGTTAAATAAAGAGTCCATTAAAGATCGAAGATGTTGTGAGGCAACTAAAGATATTAAGATATTCTTCTCGATTGATTTATTTAATTTCTTAAGCATCTCTTGTTAATTGAGGGGGAATCTTCTTTTATAATTTTTTATAGCCCCTCAAAAACTGCCCAATCATGCTTTTACCGCACTTTTTTTAACACCTTCATAAAAACTAACGTAAAATCGTGATTCAAGTTTGAGGTGTTGGGAGTTACGAGTATTGTTCAAACCAAATTGGTTGACGTTGACGCTCCGGTGAGCATTCGACCCTTGGGAAGAACATCACTTTTGTAATCGGTAGACAATCTGAAATTACAATTAGCACTTACATTATGAAAACCTAATTATTTTAGCCTTATAATGAGCTCGAGTCTGGGGCATTAAAGCCAATTATCGATACAATGGGAATCGCAATGCTTCGTTTACTGAGCCGACTATTGAGTAAACCAAAAAAGTGACTCAGAAATGGGCTATCAAAAAGTTCGGAGAGGCTTTCAACGAAAAACAAAACACCGAGAATCATTAAAACGGCAATTTAAATAAACTAACCGATATATAGCCGTGTGCATATTTAATTGCGTACATATTGTGATCAACGGAGTAGAGCGAAAACAAAGCGAGATAATCAAAACAAAACTCTAGCGAAGCTGCATTCAAAATCGTATAAAAGCCAGGTGTTAACAGAATAAAGCAAACAGTACCGATACCAAAGGGTTTCCAACTACATCTCATCCGCCACCATGAAGTTCCTGATTGTCCTGTCCGCCGTTTTGGCCATCACTGTGGCTGTGAGTAAAATCAGCTGATCTGTGGGTCTATAAGTTCTGGAAATATATTATTTATTTATTTAAATCGTTTAGGAGCTACAGCTGTCCGATGAGCAGAAGGCGGTGGCCCATGCCAATGCAGCTTTGTGCATCCAGCAGGAGGGAATCACCAAGGAACAGGCGACCGCTTTGAGAAATGGAAACTTCGAGGACAGCGATCAAAAGGTCAAGTGCTTTGCCAACTGTTTCCTGGAGAAGACCGGATTCCTGATCGATGGCAAGGTGCAGCCCGCTGTCGTTTTGGCCAAGTTGGGACCGCTGGCCGGTGAGGATGCCGTGAAGGCGGTTCAGGCCAAGTGCGATTCCATCACAGGGGCCGATAAGTGCGATACCGCCTTCAAGCTATTCGAGTGCTACCACAAGAACCGCGCCAACATCTAAGCCCAATTCTGGCGAATTTATTATGTGTGATAATCTGTCTGTGAACTTGTTACTTAGTTTGTTCGAACCGAGTACATATAACCAATGAGAAAACAAGGTTAAAATAAGGCTTCTCGCCTTCAGGGTAATTGTTGTTGAAATATTAAAATTTATTTTCCCAAAAATTGTTTTTATTATTATTTAATAAAATCTTATTGACAAGTTAATCTATATTTTCTAATTCATCGGAGCCCTTAAGGTTGAAGTAAGTTTTATAGTTTGAGGAACAATGTGTACAGACCGTTTTTAATTTTGAGCCTAATTTTGAGTTTTTAATTTAAAGACTTAAACTGCATATGACAATATTAAATGTTGAATGAAATTTAGGAAAAATTGGTTCATTAAATAATCACGACATATTATTATTTTTGTCGAATATAAGACTGTTCTTTCTTAAAGTCTTTGAACCTTACTCCAAAGTAACTCCGTGAACTTTGACAACCCCTCAAAACCCACGCCCCTTTTCGTATCTCAGAGGAAATTAAGAGCGAAATTCTTATACATAATTACTTATGCATATTCGACTTGGGAATGGATGCTCCACTGTATGACCCATTTGCGTGGTGGCCACGCACCCATTTGCATAACAGTGGGCCATCATTAAGGCCCAATGTCAGACCGTCGTCAGGGGCTTAAGTCCTTGGCCAGAGCACCGATCCCAGAGGCATTTGGCCGCTCATGTTTGGCATAAATATTGATGAGCGGCGGCGAACTTATTCGCACAAAGACCGGGATCCCGAATCCCGAATCCTGGGATGAATGCGTGGGGTCTGAGCAAATGAATTGGACACAGGGTACCGTGTTTTTAAAAGCCCAAATCCGATTAACAAATCATTAAACATTCATTGAGCACGTGTCGCAATTGCATTTACCAGTTAAACTTGGGCCAGGTGGGACATAAGGGACAATTGGACTCGGGCTTTGGCTTTGGGGACTTTGGAGTGGTGGACTTGGCGTCCATAATTCATTTTGTCACTTCCTGGGGACGTTTTGGACTGGACTGGACTGGTTTGGTCTGGTCTGGCTGTCATGTCACTTCCATTTAGCATCCGTTTCAGTTGCAGTTGTCTGCCCACGAGCCTTGCCGGCAATCACTGATGCGTTCACTAATGTCTATTAAAAAGGCAGCCCAATCGCCGGATTCCACCCCCTCGAGGACTAATGCATTTAAGTAGACAGCCATGGCGGCCTGTCAAAGAAAACAACACGCTTGCGATGGACCGGTACAGAAGCACATTGATGCCCGACATCAGAGCCTTTGTCTTGGCCGCCTTGTTTGACTAGTCTCGCTCCTGTTAGTTGGCTTTCAATGGCGGCCAAGGAGTAAGGATGTGGCCAGTAGATGTGGGGTTGATTCCCGATGCCTTGACTTGGTTCCGGGATAGAGGGGGTCAGCCTGCGGTTCTCACATTAATGTAATTTAATTTTATAAAAACTACGCTGCGGGGTGGCTGCCACTGTCTTGTTTCATGGTCTGATGTCTCTCACTTTTTGTCCGTCCATGTGGAGTTTCTTTGATCTTAAAGACCAATATGTGATGTGGTCGGGGATGTTGCGGTCGTGTTTCTGATTATCAGCGCAAGACTGTTATTAAGTCCGTCAATTAGAGAGGGCTAAAGAAAGTTGGAGTTGAAGTAAACCAGTTGGTGTGGTTGAAACTAATGTGATTGAATTGGTTTGGAATAGAGCTGGCAAAACATAGGGATAGAAACTCTTTTACAGAAAAGATGGTACTTTATAGAGTTCAATATGGATACCCTATAAAACCTATAACAGATTTTTATACTGATATAAGCAAACGTAATAGTAATTTGTACCATTTGTTTTCCATAATCTAATTAATAAATAGCTTTTTTTTTCTTTTTTGTAAAGTGTTTTATAAAAAAGTTCAGATTATAAAACAAATTAGTCAATAATTACTATGATTATTTTAATTAAAATTGCAAATAATGTAGAACAAAACTTACTCAGACTGATGCCTGCTCGTTTTTTAAAACAGATTTATGGAACGACACTTAAATGTTTTGTAGATTCATCTACCAAATTGAGCTTGGCTTGTTTTTTCAAAGCAATTTTGTTTGCGTAATTATAGAGGTCATTAATCGTTCCTAAAATACGTCAAATGACAAATGAGTGCTTTTGCCAAATGCTAATTTAAATTCTCACCCGAAAATGCTTTTGGCAATGCATTGATGCATGGCAAATTATTTTCACTGTATCGTGAAATGATAACAGCCAGTCAGGCATAAAAATGATTTGTTGATCGATTTCAGGAACAATTTAATGGCAATTAAAAAGGAGATATGATCGCTAAAGTTTTGTCTATAAAAACGGATTGCAAGAGGCTCCGTAGTTTAGAAGTACTTTAAATTTAAACAATAAATATTTCCTAAAATTATTCTTTGATGTATATTAAAGCCAATTATCTGTCCTTGCTTTGCCTGGTGCTCAGTGATCTTCTACCAGTGGCATGGGTAATATTTCCCAACTTACTCAGTTATTTAATAATCTAAAATATATGGTTATACGAGAAATACGAGTATACTCAATAGAAGTAGTTGTCAAATTTGAAATCCTAACCATTCTTTCGAATACAAAGAAGGAGTAATGTTTTTATTTTTTATTGAATAATTTTGTGGCAAAGTCTAAATACTAAAATAATCCTTAAAACAAAATTAAATTTCTTAAAATTAAATTAAATATATATCGTAAAACTAGTTTAAATTCGGATCTCAGAAATTGAGGTGTAAATGAAAACTTTTGGATAAGACGAATTTCATAATGCTGCAGTTTTCAAAACCTTTAAAATTTTTTATTCATAGACCCGTTCGTTGACTGTCTCGCTGAACATGTCGATGACCCGAACCCTGGTCCCAGATCCACCGAATGGAACAGAGACAAAGCTTAGCCAGGATATGTTAAGGTCCTGTATGCGGAAGACCGAGATATCGATGTCACAGCTGAAGCTCTTTCACATGAGCCTGCTGAACAGTGACTACAACAACGAGAACGAAGTGCTTCCGGTGCCAGTTCAGTCCATGGGTGATGTCAACAACCTGGGCGATCTGGACTTCAATGGCAACTCACAGTTGCCCTTCCTCAATCTGAAACACAATGAGCCGCTGCAGTGCTTTGTGAGCTGCCTGTACGAGACCCTGGATCTGGACAAATACAATGTCCTGCTGGAGGAGGCGTTCAAGTCCCAGGTGCAGTCGATCATCCAGCACGAGAAGGCGGAGATCAAGGAGTGCAGTGACCTGCAGGGCAAGTCTCGGTGCGAGGCGGCCTACAAGTTGCACCTGTGCTACAACCACTTGAAGACCCTGGATGCGGAGCAGCGCATCCGGGAGATCCTCGAGCGGACGGAGGCGGAGAGCGAGGGACTTGGTCCGGATGGAGCCGACTTCATCGACGGCATCCAGCACTCAGGCGAAAAAGAAACCACACCCAAGTCGGAGTAAATGACATTATATCCTCCTATTCCAAATCTTATTGTTGTCTACTTTATCCAGAATACAGTAAATAAACCAATGTTCGTGTAGAAAAAATATTTAAATTGTAACTTGGTGTATTTTTGGGGACTCTAAAACTGTAGGCTCAATTTGCTCTAAAGCAATATTAATTTTAATGACAAAATTGTAGTAGAGCTTTAAATATCTTAAATGGTTTATTTTACAAATCTTTAAAATTACCATTTAAATTTTTATTGTGATAGAAAACGTATTCAGAAAATAACAAAGACCGTTTTTGGGCTCAATCTTTTCTGAACTGATATTAAAAGTTTTCATGGTATATTTTTGGGCTGACAGCTTGGTAAAATAATTTTTGGAATGTAAAATTTATAAGTGATTAAGTGTTTGCATTAACATTATTTATTTATTTCTGTTTGAAAATATTTATATAATGTTTAAAAATTAAATGATTTGTATTATTCTCAAATTTTAAATATAAAACTAAGTGGATTTTGCGACATTTCCAAAAGCATTTACATTTATAAAATATATATGAGAAATAAATTTCTTATACAATAAATTTATACAAGTAAAACAGTTTTATGCTTGTCCCAAAGCTTTTTCACAAAAAGAATAAACCCTAAAAACAAGAACTTAAAAAAAAGCAGCACAAAAAAGAGGAAAGTGAAGGCAAAATGAAAGCTCACTGAACCGAATGATCAGTTGAGACGGGGATTATTTAACGCTAGCTGTTTGAAAATTAAAAACACCCAATTGGCCAAACCAAAAAACAATTTAAAAATTGAATAATATGAATAATTGAATTTTAATAATAATAATAACTTAATTTTTAGGCAAGAGTCTGAAAATTTCATTAGTATTTAAGCAGCATTGTTTGAAACAAAGTTCAGTCAGCAAGTGCAGATAGCATTGAAAAGATGAACTTTAACTGTTTGGTTGTAGTATTCCTCATTTTCGCTCTAAGCGAACTGACAGCGGTGAGTAGTTTATGAACATATAGTGTGTCTTAAGGAAATGTTATCCTTTTTATTGTGATCTTTAACAGGGTCAGTCAGCTAGTGATATGGCAGCCTACAAGCAAATGCAACAGGCCTGCATCAAGGAGCTAAATATTGCTGCAAGTGATGCCAATTTGCTGACCACGGATAAGGAGGTTTCCAATCCCTCGGAGTCGGTGAAATGCTACCATAGTTGTGTCTACAAGAAACTGGGACTCCTGGGAGACGATGGAAAACCCAATGCCGATAAGATCGTTAAGTTCGCCCAGCTCCGTTTTAGCAGCCTTCCCATTGACAAGTTGAAGGCTCTACTTAAAAGCTGTGGAGCCACCACAGCGTCCACCACCTGTGACTTCGTCTTCAACTATGAAAAATGTGTGGTTAAGGGAATTTAATCTTTAAGCGTAACCCTTCCAATCAGCACCCCGCTTAAAACAATAAAGTAATTTCAAGTGTTCAAAGCACACAACGATTAATCGTCCGGCTGGGGGTCTCATGCATTTAATTATGCAAATTGAAAACGCCGAATGACCTGGCACACGCATGAATATGGATTATAAGCGGTTTACGTGGACCATGGCCTGAAAGCCACAATTAAGCTGCGGCAAATTCTGGCTTCCATCCTACTGCAGCACACTGAATTGCACTTTCAAAGGCAACGTTTTTTAAAAACATCAATTCAGGCATAAGCGCAAATTAAAATCTGCCTTTTTAACACCTAAAAGTTTAAACTATAATTAAGATACTGTTACCCGATTCTGAAATTAGTTTAATAACAGCTAAATTTCTTTGGACTTCAACATTTTTGTTAGTAAATGAGAAAAGTGTCAAAGAAATGGTTTTTATACCCTTGCAGAGGGTATTATAATTTTGGTCAAAAGTGTGCAACGCAGTGAAGGAGACATCTCCGACCCTATAAAGTATATATATTCTTGATCAGGATCACCTCCTGAGTTGATATAGCCATGTCCGTCTGTCCGTCTGTCCGTCTGTCTGTCCGTCTGTCTGTCCGTCTGTCTGTTTCTACGCGAACTAGTCTCTCAGTTTTAAAGATATCGAATTGAAACTTTGCACACACCCTTATTTCCTTTGCACGCAGTATATAAGTCGGAATGGCCGGGATCGGCCGACTATAAGTTAGGAAGTTGGGATTTTCTATGGGTTTTATATTTGGCCAATTAATCCGACCTACCAAATTTCATAAGGATCGGACGACTATATCTTATAGCTGCCATATAACTGATTGATCGGAAATACCATAACTTTAGTGTTTGTTAAGTTAGGAAGTTGGGATTTTCTATTGGTTTTATTTTTGCCCAATCAATCCGACATATCAAATTTCATAAGGATCGGCTGACTATATTCTATAGCTGCCATATACATAACTGAACGATTGGAAATGCCATAACTTTGGTGTTTTTAAAGTTAGGAAGTTGTGATTTTTTATGAGTATTAAGAACGCATCATATGAATAATTTGGGAGAATATAATTTGCAGAATATTCTGCAAGGGTATTTCAAATTCGGCTCCGCCCGAAGTTAGCTTTCCTTTCTTGTTATATTTAAATTACCAAATGGAATTAACATAAATTGACTTCCAAAACCCTAAAAGTGCTGCACAGTGATAGCAGCATACCCATTTTATAATTTGTACATTCTTTTGACAAATCCATTTTCTCAATGATTTTGTTTTGATAAATTACATTTTTTTGAATTCATATTAAGTATCGATATTTAAGCATGATTTGTTGTATTCGATTTGTATAAGTTTTTAGCATATTAATAGTGTTATATTTCAAATATACTTTAATGGCGAACCGAATAAAACCCTCTGCAAGGATATAAAAATAAGATCTTACAACCCAATTCAGTTTATTAAAACAACAAAGTTAAATTTGACAAAGCATATATTTGAATCTAGCATATAAATGTATAAATTAATTTTCATTGAATATTTTAAAATGAATCACAATTTGCCAAACTTTAACTCCTGCACATCCTTTTAAGCCTTAACCTCGGTGGGCTTGAAGGTCTCGAAGCAGGCGTGCAACTTGACGGCGGTTTCGCACTTGTTCTCGCCCTTGACGGATCTGCACTTTTCCAGAGCGGCCTTGGTCTTCTCCTCGCCGAGGAAGGCGCCCAGTTTCTCCAGGACAACGGACTCCTGCAGCTCACCGTCCTTCAGGGTGCCCACCTTCTCGAAGAAGCAGTTGGCGAAGCACTTGATGTTCTCGGTGGGGTCCTTGAAGTCCTTGTTCTTGACCTTGGCCTTCTCCTCCTCGGTCAATTTCAGCTCGGCTGCGCACTGCTCACCATGCTGCTTGGCCAATGCCTTCTGGTCCTCGTTCAGTTCGATGGGCTAAAATAAATTTAGTATAAATTTAGTAATTGATTCAAATATATCTCAAAGAAAACACAAGTCTACAACTATAAAAAAATAAGTTCAAAAGGATTATTTAAAAGACTTAAAATCTATTAGGGTTATACAAAAACCTTTGAATAAGTAATTTATGTTTGATTTTGATTATAACGTTTTAAGTATCTATTTTTATTAAGAGAGGGAATCGAATTCAGAACATAAAATTGTAATGCCTTCAAAGGTCTTTAAACTGAAAACTACAACTTTCTGAATAACCAATGGATATTTGATATTGGATTTAAGGTTTTATGATGAGAGAGAGGAAAAGCAATCGGAATTCAGAATTCCTTTTTGCTTCCTTAACTTAAAACTCACCGAGGCAAAGGCCAGAGCCACAAAGACAGCACTCAAAGCGATCACAAAGTAGGAGTTCATGTTGAGAGTAACTATGACTTGCTAGAACGTTTGGGGAAGTTCTGATGTCGGACTGGGATGTGATCGCGGCTTTTATACCCGAATTCGGTGTCAATAAAAGCCGGTTTCTCTTTATGGCCCGGGGCAGTGATCCATCTAAGCCCAGCTGATGGGTTTTGGTTTTTGTTTTGGTTTATGTTTTGTTTTGTATCTCTGCCATTTCCTTTGGCCTAGCTGAGATTTGGTTTTTTATTTTTTGCCATCTCTTGGCCAGTACTTTCGTCTATTTGTGGCCTGCGGCCAGGTAGACAATCCGAAGTTATGGCCGCTATGAAAGCATGGTTCATTAGACCGCCTTCCCCGGCCGGGGGAATCGAATCAATTATACAAATAGAACGCAGACGTGGTACAGACAGGGACGCCTCAAGTGGTCTCGAGATCGGAGGTCGCTCAAGTTACAATCGCGTTCGGAGTTTTGGAGGTGGAGTTGCGGCTGCTCACTCATTATCGCGCCACTCTATCAAAAACTTTCCACTGCTCCCCATTCCAGGTGGCAGATCCCAAGCTAAAGCCAAGAACCCAAGACCCAAGAACCAAAGACGACGACCCGGTCGGATTCTGATTCAGATATATATCTGGGGGCGGTGAGGTGTGGCGCGTATTGAAAGTTGAGAAGCGCAAGGAGACAGACGACGACGGCAAAGTTTTTTCATTTGAATCCTATTATTTCAGCGTAGTTGTAATCTTATTATCCACGAGATGACAGCAAAATGACATTTAGAAAATTTCACGCTGTGTGAAATGTACAAAAAGAAAATACGGGAATGCAGGAAAGTCAGCCAAGCAGTGCGTGTGGGTGGTGATGGAATCGAAATGGAGCCGGAGTCGTAGCCAAGTCCGGAGTTTCCGATTGGGACTGCGAACTGTGGCCACACCAGCCCCATTCCCCCCTTCGGAAAAACCTTCGTCTACGTCTTTGAGTCGGGCGTGTTTTTCACAAGTTTTCCACTGACTGCCGCTGCTGCTGCTGCCTGTCGCTGCCTTCCTTTTAATTTCAATTCTGACATTTGTTTGTCTGCTGTCAAAATAAAGTAGCTTTGGCGCAAAAGAAATAAACCATAAGATTGCGATTGAAAATTTTCCAACCCACACGCAGCACCCCAAAACCCACACACCCCCCCCTGACCACCGAGTGCCTGAAACTTTTCGCTCTGACGCAATAATAATAATAAACTAAAGCTTGTTTGACTTCTCCGCAAATGCTTTGAAATCCTTGTGTGGTAATCTTAATTCAATTTGCTTGTGGTGGGGACAGTCGGCTTGAGTGATAAACTCTGGCGTTACACATGCAAAGAGTGATGGGACTAACGAAAAACCAGGAAATTTAATCTGAAAACTTTATCATAATAATGATTTTGATGGAGGGTGAATGATAAAAGCATTCTACAAATGTTTACAGGTGAGAGTTACTTTTTAATGGTATTTTTATAAAAATTTGTCTTTGTAAGGTTTTAATTTCTTAAAATTTATGCAACATGAATTAAGTAAAATGTTTTTAATGGCTTTTTTTTTGTTTTTACACCATGCATCAGCAAAAAAATGTTTTGTTTTTTATTTCACTCGAATTGTGGTTGAGTTTTCAGTTTCGAAATATATTTAATTTGAACACTCAATTTTAAACCATTATTTAAGTAATACATTTGTTTCACTTTGGTTAATTTTAATGACAAATTAAAAACAACTAGAACCATATAAAAATGTAATGCAGAGTTTATATGTAAAGTCTAATTAGTCATTTTGAAATTTTGATAAAAACAAAATTAATATCTCAAAATTCTTGTACATTTTTTTTGTGAAAACTTTTCAGAATCATTAAACAAGACAAAATGTAATATTTGTTTAAGCTTATTTCTAATGAACAAGAACTGACATTGGGATGGCTTTCTCTATAGGGCACAAAGCAAAACCATGAAGAGCATAATCAGTCTACAAACCCCCGTCCGAGGTCGCCCCTTCAGCTAGAAATTAAGTACAATTTTCATTTTAAATTAAGCTGCCACGGCATCCCCGCAGCGCAGATCCTGCTCAGCTTTCGACGTCATTAATCACCACAGAAGCAACAACATGCTGGCCAAAGAGCATTTGTCAGAGACTTTTGGGTTACTTTCTTCGGTGGGGTAGAGCATTTTCTAATCGCCCCCATGGAAAAAAGTAAAAAAAAAACAGAGTTGGAAAAGTTGCGCCCAAGAATCAGCCCGTGTACACATGTCAGTTGGATGGGTGGGGGGGTTTTGGAAATCTCCCCCAACTATGAAACCTCCTGAACGACGAAGGCCCACCTGTCTGAGTTTTATTTCTGTGAGAAAAATGGTCGCTAAATTTGCGTGAAAAGGCAAATAATTTAAAATTCCCAGGGGTTCTAAATAAGTAAATTTAAATTGCATTTGTATGCGTTCCAAATTTGTGCTTCTCCTGTTTTTTTTTTTGCCGAGGGTTGGAGGTTTTTGGATTGTGTGCTTTGGCCACAGCAAAGTTTTTGTTGCCACCGTTGCCGTTATAAATTTGCGTGTCAAAAGCGACGAGGTGAAGGTTTTTCCGGTTTTTTTGATGTTTCGCATATGCGGAAGGAAGCTCTCCCCAATCCCCAGCCACCCCCCTCCACCTCACCCCTTTCCGTGTGTCTATGTGTTTGGCCAAATGTTAATGTCCTTATCAGCGCTTCAGCATTTTTACATGTGTCCGCATTTGAAATATGCGGCAGTGGGAAATGTTTTTCTGGCACTTTGCATGCACCCATGAACGAAAAGCCGGGCTGGGGATTTTCTTTTTGCCGCTCCTGTTGCCGCCGCTTCCGCTGCAGTTGATGTCAAGTGTCAAGTGTCGGACAGTTGAAGTTATTTATTATAACGACAATTACGCCAAATGCTGGCCAACAGCTCACGTCAGAGGGTTTCTGCGGGTTCCTATGGCCATAATTACATTTCCCACGAATGGAAATTAGAAAATGCCGAAAAAAGGAAACGGAAGTGAGCGAACTTCGCGATGGTGTGTGCAATATGTGCTCTGTTATTGCCTCTGCCACGCCCACACACACACACATGCCAAGTCCTTTTATCGGAGTCCCGAGTATCCATCGTCTCAATCGAAATCACCCTATCCCCCGAAATCGGTGAAATTTGCTAATGTAATGATGCTTAAAAGTGTTTCAAAGTATTGCTTTTCCTTGTTTATTTTTATTTAAATGCCAGCATGTGTGGACTGTGTGTGTGTGTGTGTGTGTATGGGGGCGTTTGATTGAATTGAAAATGCTTTTGCCAAAAAATTTCCATTCGCCTTCGATGGCTGTCTGTTCTCGTCTACGTTTCCGCCCCCCTTTTTGCTCGTTTTATATTCAAGGGTTGAGGCACGTTCCGAATAATTTGCTAAATTGCTTAAAGCATGTGACTGGCCGGATTGAAATGTACGGAAGCCTCAAAAACATTAATAGCCGCACTGGACTTTGAATTTAATTTGGCCAAAATCTCAGTCTAGACTAATTGGGGACGCTTGCATCGTTATAATGTGTGTTTTCTACCTTTATTGCCAGCCATAACATTAAATTTACATTAACTACTCGAATGACTAAGATGTTTTTGAGAGGGAATCCCAATTAAAATTACCTAAATTGTCATTACAAATAAAGTAAACTGAATACGCTACTTAAAAGCGTTGTGATTCCCCTATCTTATTAAATTTTGGTTCAGTTTAATATTTGGAATAATTTATTATCTAATTAGGTTCCAAAAGTCTAAACATGATTAACAAACACAAACAATGAGAGGAAAGATAATATCGTTAAGTTAATATTATAATTATAAGGGGACTTGATAAACGTATGTATATGACAACTAATAATAAATTATATCTATTCAACGTCATCCCAAAAATTGTATCTCTTTGAATTTCAAGAATTAATTGGATAATCAAAAGCTTTAAGATAGGAAAAAGCGATAAGTTTAAATGGGTAACAAAAATATTTATTGTGAATACTTATTATTTTCACTTCTCATAAAATCCTAAAAGATATTGCACTTTAATAACCTTAATAGCAAACATAAATCTTGAATTCTATGGTTCCGCAATTAGTTAGTCAGAATTATCCCTATAAAATGCCATCTGCAGCCAGGTGCATTTCCCAGCTCTAGCGCCACTTCAACTTTTCATTTTGAGCCACTCGAGCATGTCGATACACACACTTGTGGCCACAACCTCAGCTTCCAAGGACTCTTTCCTTTGGCTAAGTTCAATGCCATAAGTCGCTGTCGCTGGCGGAGGTTCCTACTTTTTTTTACAGGGTTTTTGTGGCTCTAATTCCATGTGTTCTGTGGGCATATTTAACGAGCGCCTGCTGTGCCACTCCAGCCACTATAATATGCCAAATTAAAACTTTAACTAGCGCGCCGAGAGTCCTACAGCGTCAGCATAAAGAGCAAGTGCAGCAGAATAGCAGTGCAGCAGTATAGCAGAACAGCCAGCGACAGACTGTCATCATTATCATTAACAGACACACACACCCGACTCGCTTTCGCACCTTATCCGGCGCTTATGACACTGAGAGAAAAAGTTTCTTAAGAAAATCATTATTGGTGAATGCTTATCATTCGGTTAAAATTCATATACAAAACTACATTGTCAAGGTACTTAAAGATTGTACGGGTTCTATGTTTAATAAATAATATTTAAGAAAAAAAGTATATCTCTATATATATATGTAATTGTAAGTGTATTGTGGTATATAAACATTCTGGATATCATAATTTGGACTGGGATACTTTTTATAGGTTGTGATTCTCCTTTTAATTCCAAACTGGTTTCAGCCAAAATTGCATTGGACAAATGTATTAATTTATTTATTTCTTTTGTTATCCGTTAAAAAATAAAGCTGCAAAATAATAGAACTAGTAGTTTGATTACATTAAAATAAGAAATTTTTTCATTTCGTATTTGAACCCTAGGAGAACAGTTATTAAAACCCCCTTTACAGCCTTGATAAACACCAATAATAAAATACAATTTAGTAAAGATAATTTGTTT